AGTTGAAAGGATATTCTTTTTGTAACAACTAGTACTGTGAAACTGAATGTTAATATGCAAAAGAATGAAGGTGGACCTTACCTCATACCACACACAAAGATTAACTCAAAATGATTGAGAGACCTGAATATAATATTTTATTATTATTTTTTAAATGTATTTTAGTACAGGGTCTACAGGGTCTCACTATGTTGATCAGACTTCTAGTCTTTCTCCTGTGTTCAGCCTCCTAACCCCTGGGATTAAAGATATGCACAACCATGCCCAGTCTCAGTCTCCATTTCAGTGCGCTCCAGGTGTGTGGCCAGCATGGCATGCCAGGGATTGAACCTGGCTGCTGTGCTCTGCCTAAGCAGGTGCTTTAGTCTACTGAGCTATCTGGTCGGCCCTGAAAGTAATATTTAAAAAAATATTTTGTACAAAAGGAGGTACTTCCAGCGCTGCTTCAGAAAATGGCAAGGAAGGAGGGGTAAGCATGTTTGAGACAAGGGAAGGGACGATTCAAGGGTGATTAATGGCATCATGTCTTTTATTATAATAAATTTTGTTTTAAACAAAAAAAAATATATATTTTGTTCCCTTTTAGGACTGAATCATAACATTTCATTTTTGTAGAAACAAAATTCTTTTTACCTGGTTATCACTTCATGGATATTTGTGATTTTTTTTTTACTACTTGACTATTATGAATAATACAGCTATGAACATTCATGTCACAATTTTATGTTTGTTAGGTTTATAATATCAAGAAATTAATCATATAGTAACTCTCTTTTGGATGTATTTAGCAGTTGCCAAACTTTCTTCCAGAGGATTGTGTTGTGTTGTTACTTAAGCAGTGATTAAATAAGGATTCCTGTGTGTTCACATTGTCATTAACACTTGCTAGTATTGTCTGTCCTGCTTTTAGGCATCTTAGCTATTATAAAGGGACATCTTGTTTTTTTTTTTCTTGTGGAACTGGGGATTGAACTCAGGCTCTTGCGCCTTATTCTACTGAGCCATTTCCCCAGCGTCCCCCCATCTTGTGGTTTTCAGTTATATTTCCACAGTGAGTAATGGTGTTCAGTATTTTATTTTTCATATTCATTGCATATTGGCCATTTGCATATCTGCTATAGAGAAATATCTATTCACATATTTTGCTTATTTTAAAATAGGGTTATTCCATTCTTATTGTTTATTTGCAAGTACTTATGTATTCTGAAGGATTTTACATCTTCAACAATGTAAGTACAGAATGATTATATTAATATTTTTGGAATTCTAGATGGTGGCAAAATAATCAGTATTTATAGTTTTACTGGTTTAAGTTAGGGATGAGATAAAAGTAAAATCCTTCTTTCCCTGTCTGAGAAAAACGTGTCAGTTTCCATCCGCATTTTCTTTTATTTCAGTATTTATATAAACAAAAATTACTTTGAGGGGAGTTTCTACCAGGGTCTGTGCTACTCATTCAAGATGGTTACTGATGAAAGGAGAACGAAGTCGTTTTACTCATAGTTGAAGGAGAAGTGATGATGTCTCAGTAACTACTTTTCTCTCATTACTGGGACAAAGTACCTGATGCCCAAAGTTAAGAAAGGAAAGGCTTATTTAGCTCGTTAGTGGAGGTTTCAGTCCATATTCAAATGGTTGCAAGGAGACTGGCAACATGGCAGAGGGAAGCAGTTCATGCTGGTGGAAAAGAGTAAAACAAAAGAGAGCAAAAGGGAGGAGTATTGGCAACAATAGCTCCAGAGAGCAAGTCTGTCTTCCTTATGTTGCATTCAGGCTATCTGTCCCAGGCTGGGTGTAGCAATCATACCATAATCTGAGTAGCATTTACACCCATAATCCCAGCATACTCACCCCATAATCCCAGCACTAGATCATGAATTCATCATATACTCTAGAAGTCCGCCCCATAATTGCATGAAGCTTTGGGGGGACAACTAGACACAATCCATAACAGATGGTAAAAGATTCAAAGATTTCATTTATTTAAGGCTAAGTGGAGAACCAGCCATTCTTTTTTGGGAGAGGGGAAGGGTGAAGCTGAGGGAGGAAGGAAGGCTAACAAAATTGAGCTAATTGATGAACTAAATGGAATGTAGCATCATAATGCTGCTGCAATGATATGTAATTTTGAAGACATCTTTTATCCTTTTTATACCTCATCTTTTTTGTAAATGAGATGCTTGAGTCAAACATTTAAATAGTCAGCTTTAAAATTTTATAGTTCTTTTACTGCTAAATGCTTTTGCTATAGAATATGTTCATTATTATGCTTTTTTATGTGGTCATAATAAATCATCAGTTTTTATGTGTTTCGGTGTATTACATAAACAGTTTTTCACATGAAGCCTGTGTTTGGTTATTTGTCCTTTTAACTAGGGAATAATTATACTGTGTGGCTTTTCATGACATCATGAAAATGATTTCTTTTATATCACAAATTACTTAGTTTTTATGGGCACTTATGGTTAATGTGTACCTTTTACATTTTTTTGTTTAAATTTGTAATTCCTAATTTATCCTAACTTCTGTTAATAACTTGTAGAAGTTTTATGATGTTTTAAAATCTCAAAATTTCCTCTGTTTGAAGTATTAAAGAACAGTTGTCATAAAATTTTGAAATATTAGTAGGCCAGATGTGGTGGCTTATGCCTGTAATACTTGCACTTGGGAGGCAGAAGCAGGAGGATTGCTGTGAGATTAAGGCCAGTGTGGGCTACAATGTGAGTTCAAGACCAGCCTGAACTGCATAGTGAAACTGTCTCAAAAAATTTTAAAAAGAAAATTAGAAAAGTGGTGATATATTTTTTCTCTTGCCTTTTTTTTGTTTAGTGGCATTATGTTTAATATTCATTTAATGCGATATTTATGTCATCTTGTTCAAATTTGTTTACCTCAAGTAAAATTTATGTTGGTAGTTACACATTTTCAGTGCTTCAGAGCATTAGTTTTCAGCATTTAGCCTGCTTATTACATTTCCAGATATGTGTGCTACCCTGAATGAAAGTAACTTCACTTCATACTTGCCTGGTTTTGCTTTTTTCAGATGATACGTTTCATAACCTTGGTGAAACAGCCTTGACAAGTCATTAGGTGATTTAAATATTGTAAATTTGTATATCTAATTGCTATGATTTAGAGGAGTATGCATACTGAAACTTTTTAATATGGTAGATAAACACAATTTGATGTTTTAAATATAATTTGGCAGTATATAGAAGGTAATATATCTAATAGATACTGTTTATAATTTTTACCTACTTGAATGCTTGCATAGTAGTTTATGTAGAAAATATGTAAATATAATACAGCTTTTTAAAAAAATTGCAGTTCTCCAGAGTTCTTTGCAGTTCTTCAGATAGCCAGCAGGGGATCTCCTCTTCACCCAATTCCATTGGAGTGCTACTAAAAAGTAGCTTTGAGAAAGTTCTTGGTCGAACATAGGTAGTATGATGTGATAAAATCACATCGTTACTGTTATTACTAGGAATATTTGAAGACTAAATTTTTTTTGATAATTATGTTTTATATTATTATAAATTGTAAATTTCAGAATTGTGTACTTGACTTTTATGAGAAAATATGAAATGTTAGAATTCAAAACAGATCTTCAGAAAGAATAAATGTGTATGTAATATGTTAATTTTTAAGTTATGATTTTATGTAATCATCTTGATATTCAAAACATAGCTTTTTTTCTTATCAGTTTTGTACTTGCTAATTTGTTAATAGCAATACCTATACAAATTAATATTGTAATTGCATCCACTTTAATTTTCCTTGACTATAATTAGATAGAAATGACCTTTAAAATGCAGTTTTCTTTGAAAATGTTATTTTTACTGTTTTATTTTCAGAACACTTTCATTCATGAAAAACTGGTTTTGGAAGAAAGTGTTTTACATTATCGGTTGATTAATATTAGGGTCATAATAGGATTTTGAAACCATTTGTATGTACCTTAATACCGTAAAGGTATTTATGTTGTATCATAGGGATTAAACCTAGAGCCTCCTGTATTGACAATTGCTTCATGAGCTACATTCACCCTCAGCTCTGATGTTAAGAAATTGATCTTCGCTTCATGATCATTGAATAAATGTACTATATCTGAGAATGTTTTTGCAGCATTTATCAGTTAATATTAATCCTACAGATTGGGTTGATAGCTATGAAATCAGTGGGATATAAATTCAGGGATTAAATAATTAAAGATAACTGTTGAGGTTACATTGATTTGTATGTTATTGGAAGGCAATTGTGTCAGTCCTTTTAGTATGACATGTTTATCGTCTGTTTTATTGGAAATAATTAGAACAGAAACATCAGTTTTATGCAATGTTTGATGTAGAATATGCTGTTAAAATATTTCTATTAAGATATTACATTGTCCAGGCAAAATAGGGATTGCTTATACAATTTTCAGTGTGATCTCATTTTAAGTGTAAACATAGGAGGGTAATTATACCTTGTACCAAATTTCCTGGAGTATAAAATATCAATCTTACAGTTATTTTCACAAAAGAAGAGAGAAATGAGTAACAATTTAGGATATTATTGGATATTGTTTTTATGAATGAATAATGAAACTTGAAGATAATACATTTCTAAGATTGTACTTTTAGTTAGATGATTTTAACACCAAGTTATGTAATTTATAATTTACAGTGGGGACAATGCTGTCAGCTATGTATATTTATGGAATAGATGTAAATTTCAGCAGATATTAATGCACTATGTGAAGGTTATATATAGGAATAAATGTGAAACTTAGAAAAGTTAGTCAAAAGCAGTGCTCTTTTAGGGATATGAAAGAAACACAACATGTGTAGCTCTTTGACTTGATGTCAAATTGAATAAAAGAAAATGTTGATTGTTCGGGAAGTAGAAAAAAAACATCGGAACATATTGTGCAGCTGTTGTACAGCAATTTGAAACTGACGTATTTCATCCTGTGCTTATTAAAAGTTTGTGAACATTTGGATCTTTTCTTTTTGTTTTAGATATTTGGCTTTCAAGCAGGACTGACATCTTTGGATTGTAGTGGATCTTACTGCATACCTGTGCCAATTATTCCCTCCTTTAGCACTGCTCTGTATGGTAAATTACTAAAACTTCCCACTTGTTGGTAAGTATTACATGTTAAAATATGCTTATGTTAATTTTCATAATTTCAGAAGGAGATAAAGTCAAATGTATTTGTTCTATATCCATATATTAGTTTTATGGAAAACTTTAGAAAAATATCTGACGATGAAGTCTTTTGCAAATATAGAAATCTTTTAAATGTCTGAAATGTGTTAGTTTATTGTACTTTTGTGGTTATAGTAATTGTTGGAATAAAAGTTAATCTGTTTTGGAGATTCAGTAAAATGTTGCTGCCTTAGTGTGTAATTTGTAACAGAGCAAATGCCTTTTTCTTTGAGAGAGAGTATAAAGATCTAAAGAAAGACTTGAATTAATATCTAAGGCCAACACTTTTGTCTATTAAATAATTTTATGAATATTTATAAGCACTGAGTAATTTGTACTCCTACATAAAATTCAGCGTTATCTGACGTGTTTGGTTGATACATTTTTGAAGAAAATGATTTGTAGTTATTGTCTGCATTTAGAGTTGAGTTGCCTCATTTAGAGATACTTACTTGAATTTAGAAATTTATAGAAAGAAAAGCAGAATTTACTAATCATGTGTTTTTAGTTAAAACCAGTACTTTTAATATGTTAAAATGATTTTTAAATTTATGAAATATTTAAATGTCTGAAATTATTTTCTAGTGAAACTGTTTTACATTTTAAAATGGAAATATTTTTATTATTTAGATTATCTTTACTTTTCACCGTATTTAGTGACCTTAGTTTTTCAGAATGTATTTTCTATTAGATTTTTACTATAAGTGGCATGACTTGCAGAAAATATAGATTTTAATTTATTTAGAATGCTTCAGTTCTTCTAATAATATGTCTTTTAAAATTAAATTAGTAACATGAATGCATACATTTTCAAAAAAAATTACTTTTTGATCCGGAACATTTAAAATAAAAACAGAATTTATAATCAATTATTGGATAAAATGAAGACATTTAAAGGTGATTATGCATAATTTTTCATGGTAAATTTCTTTTTTCTTTCTTTCTCCTTCTTCTGTACATGTCACTTATTATGCTATTTAGGTATGGGGTTAACTTTTAATTTGCATCTATATATCTTATTAGATACTTTTATGCCATATTTGATATTCTAATTTATAAGAAATACCATGGATTTGTCATAGCTGATATGTCAGTATTAATTTTAGTAAGTATCTCTATACTTTCATCTCAGATATGTGCTGATTTACTTATTATTTACAAGGCTAAAATAACTTTAATAATGCTCTTTACTTTGGAAAATTCTTAATTTCATGAAAATGTTCAAAATTTCCAGAATGAATTATTCATTTTATCCGAAAAAAAATATTTAAATACATGAGGTTTATTTTAAGGATGTGTAGGGTTTACTACAAGTATTGTCATATATGACCTAAAATTTGTCTGCAGATATCTAAAAGAACATACGAGTTAGAGAGTATGCTAACACTTACTTGAATATGTTTTGTGTTTGTTCTAAATAAAACCATTTGTACATTATATCTTTTCTGTGGTTTACAGAATTGTATTGCACTTCTTTCTTCCCCTCCCCTCCCCTCTCCTCCTTTTATTTTGATGGAACTGGGATTGAACTGTGGCCCTTGAGCTCACCAGGCAAGCGCTTATTTAACTGAGCTATCTCCCCGGCCTGCTTTTTATTTCTTTAAAAATGTTTTTATAATTTTTATCAATTCTTAATTTGAAAATAAGAAATATACAATTTGGTAAAGTGAAGTGTTGCTAAGTGTGGCTTGAAATCAATAAAATACCAGAGAAAATAATTTGTGATTGTATTCCACACAGTATTCCATTGTGTGAACATTGGTAGTTTTACATATTCTTGTGATTCAGTTTAAAATTTAGATTCCTAAAGTTTATGTGCATTTCTTTGTTGTTCTTTTGCTATTTTCCTCCTTAAAATTTGGTTGTTTTAGGGAGATTAAATGCCATTCTTAAAAATTTTTTTGGTTACTCATGTTTTGATTGGCATTGTGCTGTTTGTCTTGAGGGTTTAATGTATGGTGTGCTTTACTGTCCTGTTTTAAATAATGACACAGTTTGACACAGGCCACAAATCTAGAGGTGAATACTTGGCTCTTTTTTCTTTCTCTATCTGCTTATGTTAATTACCTGCTCTTGTTATTAACATTTTCTTAAAACTATTTTTAAAACTACTAAGACTGAACTGGTATGTTAGTTCTTTTATCTCCACACTAGTGGTACTAGGGTGAATTTTCAGCATTGTCTATTCTAATATCGAGTAGATCCTTTCAAAGAATGCTTTGAATTAAAAATAAAGCAAAACAAAAGCAAAAAACAATACTATATTGACATCACCTATTCCAGTCTTATCTCAAATATGAGAAAACCGAGTTCCAGGAATGTCAAATTACTTGTCTAGGAAGGGTATCATTTTGATCCTGTCTTCAGTTAATGTCTTTGAACTGTATCATATTGCTTTAAAATTGCAGTAAAGCATTCATAACATAAATTTTCTATTATAAGTGTAAAATTCAGTGGTGAGTATATTCACATTGTTGTATAACTACCATTCATCTCTCAAACTGTTGTACATCATTAAAAAATTAGCTCTCAATTATCCCCTCTCAGGCTTCACTACTATATTTTTCTCTATAAATCTGATTATTCTAGACATGCATATAGGTGGGATCATCATCCTTTTTTGTCTTTTGTAACTAGCTCATTTCACTTATGTTAAAGATTCATCCAAGTTGTAAGCACATATTAGAATTAATTTCTTATCTGTTTATTCATTTCATAATTCTTTTGTGAGACTGAATTTTACTTGTATCCCATTGTTTCATTTATTGAACTATCCACCAGTGAACACTTAGGATCCTCCAACCTTTTGGGAGTCATATATGACTCCCATCACCTTAGTCTATGCTTTTATTCTATTGGTTATATATGTAGATATGGAATTGCAGGATCATGTATTATGTTTATCTTTTTGAGGATTGTTACTTACTTCCACATTTAGCTATAGCGTTTTATATTTCCTTCAGCAATGTAGAAGGGTTTAATTTCTCCACTTCCTGGTCAACACAATATTTTTACTTTTGATAATAGTCATCCTACTGAATATCAAGTGCTATCTCATTGGGATTTTAATTTTGTATTGTTCTAAATAGTGATGTTTAGAATTTTTTCATGTGCTTAATTTTTATTTCAGACTTTGAGAAAGTTTCCATTGAGTTTCTTTGTTTTTAGTTTTTTTTTTAATTGTTGAGATATATTCTTTAAATATTTTGTAAGTTATCTCCTTTTCAAGTACATGATGTGTCAGTATTTTCTGCCTTTTGGTGAGATCATATCACTTTTGGTATTACCTAAGATTATCTTAACTCTTGGTTCAGAAGCTGATCATACCTTACTTACGACTTTTGCTTTTTTGCATAAAATAGTTAACCTTTAAAATACAACATAGTGTTTTTCTTAAAATTAGTATAGTTTGACCTGGTAGAAAGTAGTACAGTGAGTATTTGGGATAGTGGTACTTAAATTGTAGAGATGGAGAATGGGATGAATTTATTAGAATTCCTTGCATTATTTATAAGCTTATTTTTACAACTGTCTTTACTCTTTCCCTTTTTATAATGAGTGTCTCACAAAAGTTTTTCTGCAGAAAGATTTTATATTTTTCTACAGTATACAGAGTTCTAGGTATCTTTTCTCACTTAATTTTCTTTTTAAAAAATATTTCAAAACTGTAATCAGTTAAACACATTACATATACACATGAGTTTTGAAATACAGACATGAGTTTTGAAGTATAGACAAGTTTAGTAGTACTAAATGGAATAAAAACTAAATCAAATGAACATTTCACTTATGCCTTAGTTTTTCAAGCTGCTGTAAGAAAATACCATAAATTAGGTGAGAACTAATAACAAAATGTATGTTTCTCAGTTTTGAGGAAGCAATCATATATGAAGTTATTGGCTGATTAGTGAGAGCCTACTATCAGATGCACCTGGATATTTTTTTTTTTTTTTCTTTTTTTAATGTACTTAGTACAGGGTCTACAGGGTCTCACTATGTAGATTAGACTTGTAGTGATTCTCCTGTTTTCAGCTTCCCAAGCGCTGGGATTATAGGTGTGCGCCACCATGCCCAGTCTCAATTGCCATCTCAGTATGTCCTGGGGGCAGGGCTGGCACAGCATGCCTGGGATCAAACCCTGGCCACTGCAGTCTTCCTAAGCAGGTGCTTTAGTTCACTGAGCTATCTGGCTGCCCCCCCCCCTTTTTGATGTGTTCTGAGTCTGGAAGTAACTCTCTTTAGGCTATTCTATCAGGGTAATTTTGAAGATGATTCCATAGCCAGTGACAAGAAGACAGATAGGTTAAGTAGATTTAAAAGCAAATGCTCCTCAATTTCAATAGAAACTTCTAATAGTTTTTTTAGGTGTGATTGTATGCTTTTTCACATTATTCATTCAGATCTATTTTACAAATACATGGGGAATGACTGCAAAATGCCACACACTTTGCAGGGGTTTGATGGGAGGTCATCAGTAAGCTGCACAGTCAAATTACCTGATCTCATGATAGTAGAAAATATACGTTCTTTTAATTAAGGAAATTTTGAAGAGAGAAAAATTTACACATTATAGATTGTCATTTAAAATTATTTGTATAATTTTTCTTTTTGCTATGCTGGTTCTTACAAGATGTTTAGTTGTTGCTAGTGTAGTATGTTTTGTATTACTGATTATTTTTCTTAAATGATTTATGTTTGAACTCAAAATTGTCTAATTAGGGCTGGAGGAAATATAGTGCAGATAAATAAAGAACCTTTGTATAAGTTAGTATATCATTTTTCTGGTTTTTAAAAATAGCCCATTACTATCAAATTCATTGTTGTTTAGGGTGTACTTGATAATTGTGGACTTAAGGTAAACTTTTCTAAAAAGTTGATTTATTTTTTGTATTTTCTTTGGTTATGAATTACTGCAATTCATCTTTTGTCAAGGCTTTGAAAAGATATTTGTACTTGGTAATCATAAGTCATGATAGATATTGCTTTGTGTATTTGTTTAATATTACATTTTTACTTTGACTATAATTCATATTTTAAAAAATCATGAGGGGCAGGAGATATGGCTCAGTGGTGGAGTTTTGTTTTCTTTTTTAATGTATTTAGTATAGAGTCTACAGAGTCTCACTACACAGATCAGATTTGTAGTGATTCTCCTGTTTTCAGCCTCCCAAGTTCTGGGATTACAGGCATGTGCCACCATGCCCAGTCTCAGTTGCCATCTCAATGTGCCCTGTGGGGTGGGGCTGGCACCGGAGGCCAGGGATCAAATTCCTGGCCCCTGTGTCTACCTAAGCAGGCTCTTTAATCCACAGAGCTATCTGGCATTTTTTTTTTTTTTTTTCCAGTAGTGGAGTTCTTGTGTGCATGCACAAGGCTTTGGGTTCAATTCCCAGCACCACAAAACAAAGCAAAACAAAACAAATCAAAAACGGCAACAACAACAAAACTCATGAGCAGAATTATTTTTTCCATTTAGATGAGGGTTATATTAGAAATTTGTGGGGATGGTTTTAATAACTCAGAATTATTGCTAATTTGTGTGCGGGGGTAATGTTAATTATGTTATTTGTATTGTCCAACTTAAAATTTTATAACAGCCTTATGAATGAGATACTATTATACACATTGTATATACAGGTTGTATTTTTGTTTTTTATTTTATTTTTTGCATTTACACATATAAGTAAATACTTAAGCTGAAATCCAGGTTATGTTTGTTTTAATCAATACAAGATTAGCAATTTGTAGTAAGTTTTAATCCTTAAGTATTGTTCTGTAGGAATAGCTTTGTTAATTTATTTTAAAAAGTTTTATATTTTATGTAGCTTAAAATGCATTCATTTTAAGTATACAATTTTATGACTTAAGGTAACTTACCATGAATCAGTCTAAGGATTTTTTATTTCACCAATAAAATTCTTCATTTCCACTTATAAAGCTCATATCCAATCCAAGGTGACCACTAATTTACTTTTTGTTTCTATAAATTTGCTTTTTTAAGGAGTCAACAATTTGTGGTTGTCTGTGTCTGGTTTCTTTCATTTAATATAATGATTTTGATGCTTATTCTTGACATAGTATGTATCAGTAACTAACTTACTTTTATTCTAAATCTCTCTGATTTTCAATAATTGAGTGAGATATCTTTAGGTCTACAAATAATTATCCCTTACTCAGAGACATTTAAATTCTAAAGTCGAATGTGGGAGTTTTACATCTTGTTGCTTTAACAGACTTGAAAATTTATAAGACTGTCCTTTGTAGGCATGGGCTTTTGTCATGATTTTTGAAAAATTATAGAGGGTAGAAGGGGTTTGTGCCCCTTTGCCCTGTGATTAGAACTATTTAAGACTCATTCAGTCTGCTTTACTTAAGAAGATGAGTAGTTGGCAACGGGCAGTTTTTTATCTTTCTTTTCTTAATTAAAATCCTTGGTAAGTTTACTGACTTTCAAAATACTAAGTCCATTCATTCCACTTTGTTATTTTGTATCATGCCTTATTTTATTTTTCATATGTATATTTATGCTGTAGGAACTAACATGTAGTTGATATTAAAAGTTTAAAATTAAATGGACTAGAATATAATTAATTAAAAATTCTTAGATCTGCTAACTGAAATTTTAAAGATAATAGGAAAGACTATAGGTATTTTTGACCAAAGTTCTGTTTAACGAAGAAAAGCCAGATATCCTTTGTAGTTTGTTTGCTCATCTTGCGCTTTTTTAAGAACTTAAGTTTCATATTCTGAAACAAATGTTTATGTAGATTTTAGCATCCAAAGATAATTTTTTTTTAGATTCTAGAGTCAAATTGTGTTCCATTTTTATGTTCCAACAAATGTAAATATTTAAGTATTGGGGATTTGATTTTGTATTTGTACATTTCTATCATAGTTTTTTTCTTCTAACAGTTTTGGAGAGGAATAAAAGTTAAAGACAAATATTTAATTTTGTATATATAATTCATTTCTTCAAGTATTCTATTTTATTTTATAAAGTCTCTAGAGTAATTTAAGAAATTACAAAAGTACAAAGGCCTAAGTACACCTTGGAATGTATATAACTTTGATAAGTTTTTTTTTTTTTTTTGTATTTTTTTAAGGAAGGGTCTACAGGGTGTTCAGGGTCTCACTACTAGATCGCATTCCTTGTGATCTGCCTGTTTACAGCCTCCCAAGAGCTGGGATTACAGGCGCACACCACCATGCCTAGTTTCAATTGCGGTCTCAGTGTGCCCCAGGGGTGGGGCTGGCACAGCAGGCATGAGCTTTCATAATAATTCAGAATTGTATAGAATGTAGTTTGTAAAGTTTTCTATAATAGCTTTTTTCTTTGTTTTGACTTTTATTATTCCACGTTTAGAGTATATAATGCTTACATTCTTCATAGGGGTTGGTGCATGTACATAACATATTCCAGTTCTTTTTCTTTATTATTATTTTTGTATTGTAGGGAAGGGTCTGCAGGGTGTTCAGGGTCTCACTACTAGAACGGACTCAGTGATCTGCCTGTTTACAGCCTCCCAAGAGCTGGGATTACAGGCATATTCCACCAAGCCGAGTCTCAGTTGCCCTCTCAGCACACCCTGGGGGTGGGGCCAGGGCCAGCACAGGTCAGGAGATTGAATCCCCATCCCCTGTGCCTGCTTGCAGGCACTTTAATCCACTGAGCTATTTGGCCAGTTGTTTTTCTTAACCCTTCCTTCCACCCCTGTTTAATTTTGTTTGCATCAAATTCATTTATTAGACCTTATATAGGTAATTATTAATTACACAGATTAAAAACTAGACAGAAGACAAAAAAATAAAAAGCTTGTGAGAAAATTGTACTAAGCCATAGTATACTTTTAGATAAACTGTATACGTGAATTATAATAACTTTTGTTTTTGTGTGCTACATAAAGTATGCTAGTGTTTTCAATAACATTTTGAAATTCTATTTGGTCTAAAGATGTTAGCTCGGTGTTAGAAAGCTTGCCTAGCTTGGGAGGATCCTGAGTTGTTCTGGTTTAAAAAAAAAGTATATATATGATAAATAAAATTATATAATTTAAATATAAATAAGTTCAACAGTTTTAATTGTACATTTCAGTGATTTTCTTATGAGAATCGCCAACTTGTACTACCACCAAAATCAAGATAACATTTCTTCCTGGACTATTGTTGTCTCCTCTGCTGTTGCAGACAGTCCTTTCCTCTCCTCCTGGAGTTTCTCCTCTGAACCTCATCAGATAGTGTGAGCCTGGGACTTGTTAGTGGTCACAGTCTACTGTTGCTTCCATTGTTCTCCATTGTTTCCTCCACTCAGCAAGTGATTCATTCTCTTTATTCGAGTTTCTGGGATTTGCTAAACTGTATCCCTGCCAGAGCATTTTCAGATGTACAATAAAAAGGTTTTGAATATTTTTTACCTAGTCACATGCTTTCATTTTGTGGAGCACCTATTGTTCAGATAAATTTTTGTTGAGCACCTTTTGTTTAGACTGAACAATATTTGTAACAAGCATAGTAGTTAGGAAGATTAATTTTGAAATGTTTTAAACTTTCCTGCTGTCCTGTGTATTAATTCTTAAGCAAATTTAACTTAAAGTGTTTAAAAATTTACTACTGTCACATGTATTTAATTTAATTTGATGAACTTATTCCTATTTTAATAGAGAAATTTAAAATTATCATGTCCAGGATTTATATTATTAGTATTTTTATTTTACTAACAAAGTATGGTAGTTGTTTAGAATATTGACACATGCTATATATTATTATTTTTTTTTTCCAAAATTTTATTGATAAACAGATAGCAATGAGACAGTTTCAAATCAAATCGGAAGTATAGTTTCAACAAATAATACACTGCATATATTCTTCTTAGTGGTTAATTGCTGTACAAGATGCGGACTTGAGATCTT